CTGTTGCCGCTGGATTCGCCTCCATCACAGTCGTCCCTCCCTTTCTCATTGCTGCCTCCCCCCTCCTTCTCGACATTACTATTGTCAAGGAGAGTCTAAGGCGGCCACTAGCAGCACTGGTGGAGAAACTGTCTTTACTCCCGGTTTATAACCCCCCCGTAGTCCCGGTTGGAAAACCGGGACTAAGAATCCAGGACTAAAGAACGTTATCTTTAGTCCTGGGTGAAATAACCGGGAGTAAAGATCGATCTTTAGTCCCGGTTAGTAACACCAATCGGGACTAAAGAGAGGGATCTTTAGTCCCGGTTGGTGTTACCAACCGGGGCTAAAGAGAGGATAGGGGCGGTCCCGGATGGTCCATTTTTTTATATTTTCTCCCAAATCGAGTGGGATGTATTTACCCAGATCAAACACCAAATCCCCAAATCGAGTGTCATGCATATACCTAAATTAAACCCCAAATCCCCCAAATCAAAGTAACATCCCAAATCATTCACATCACAAATACAAATCTTAAGTTACTTACACAAATTAAATACATCACAAATCTTAAAAAAAATTACACACAAATCAAATGCATCACAGATCGATTATACATCTCAGATCCATGAATCACAAATTCTTAAAAAAAGAAATTATACATCTCTCAATCACAAATTATAAAAAAAGAGAGAGAGAGGAGAACTGGCATGCTGCCGCCGCCTAACACCGCTCGCCACGGCCGGTGCCCGCCGCCCCGTGCGCGGCCCCACCGACCGCCCACCGCCGTGCGCGCTGCCTCGCCCGCTGCCCCGCCACCTGCCGCATGAGGCCGCCTCCGCATGAGGGCGCCTCCGCGCCGCCCGGGCGCCGCCACCTGAGAAGTGGGGAGGAGAGGGGAGGGGACGGATCCAGAGGAGGTAGAGGAAGAGATGGGAGGATGAAGAGGGGTGAGTGAGGAGAGGAGGAGATAAAGGTCAGAACTTATTAACTGATCCTCCCGTACGCCTCGGTCCTCTCGATCTTGCGCGCATGCCTCTCCATGCATGTCGATCTTTTTTCCCGGTAGATCTTTAGTCCCGGTTGGTGACACCAACTGGGACTAAAGATAAAGGAGGGATCTGACACCATGCCTCTCAGATCTTTTTTCCCGGTCTGTAACACCAACCGGGACTATAAATAGATCTTTAGTCCCAGTTGGTAACTAAAAATAAAGGAGGGGTCTGACACCATGCCTCTCAGATCTTTTTTCCCGATTGGTAACACTAACTGGGACTACAAATAGATCTTTAGTCCTGGTTGGTAACTCCAACCGGAACTAAAGATAAAGGAGGGGTCTGACACCACCTGCCGTTTTTTTGAACCAGAACTAAAAATGATCTTTAGTCCCGGTTGGTGAAATCAAAAAGTAGCTCTATCCTTTTGAACCGGGACTAAAGATATTCTTTAGTCCCGGTTTTTATTGCAACCGGGACTATTATAATTTGGTCGACCTACCAAAGATGGTTTCTTCAGTAGTGCAGCTTTCTTTTATCCCATCGTGGTTTTTTTTCGATGCGGTTGTACTACAAGGGCTGTCTAATTATTTTTAAAGGTGTTCTATAATTAGGACCTATGTTGTATATTCACATGCAGGTCTTTTTTTTTAAGATCACCTGTAAAAATGAAGGAAGGCTAGCTGTTGTGAATAATGGTTTTCAGGTGATTTAAGATAGTTTGTGTTCAGTAGGGTATATATGGATGTGGGCCACCTCCCAAGATGATTAGATAACCATCCGATTTAATTTTGATGCTTGTTCATTCGCATCGATGGCCATTATATATGATACATATCATTTGTAAGAATATTCCGTTTCTGAAAGAGTTTCTACATGTTTTCATTCATCGGAGTTTTATTCTATGAGGTGCAATGTGTCAAGATGAATGGTGTGAAGCTTAATTTGCCAAGGAATTTCCTACGGAAGAACGACTCCTAATATGCCACCTACAGAAATGAAAAATGTCAAGCTCGGTGAGATAGATGATCGATATCTTTTCAGGAGTTTAGAGATAATTAATCTCTCTGCTCCAAAACAAATATAAGTACTTATCATTCATTTGAATGTATACTAAAATATAGTAAGTGCTTCTAACACTATTCTAAACACTACTTGTCTCATCGATCAATCTCACCTCCTGGCTCCTATTCATATTTGTTCTCATCTTACCCTCATTTAGTAAAGGGTACCAAAGTTTTTACTACGTACTTTAACCTCTGCTATATGAAGTGTTTACTACTCAATCTTAACCTCTATTAAATAACCTTGAAGTGTGTAACCTTTTTGCAGAGAGTATCTGGTAATTGGTGGTATGATCACCATTCAATTTTGCATTGTCCTTAATTTCTTTAATTTGCCTGGGAGAGGGGAAAAAAAGAAAGTAGACTTTCAGCCTCTTGAAGATCCTTTTCTGTTGTATTGTGCTCTTGTCTCTACCAGAGGTTTGACAAATTAAGGTGCATCTTGTCAGGGTGCCACTGGTTCCTTGTGATATGTTGATCATTTTGTCATCTTACTCTTTTTTCTGTAAGCACTCTTCTTACTCTAGCTTTGTCAGTCTAATTTTAATTGCACCTTATAACTCGAAATTACAGTGTTGTTTGGAGCGAAGGAAAAAAAAAACAGAAGCAAAATAATAGTGGGAGTGCATTACAAATAAAGGGAAAAAAATCTCTTCTTGGAGGTAACATTCCTCTCTTATGCATAAAGCAAGAGATGCGTATCAAATCATCCAATTCTGCCTTTTGAAATCTAGCCCCGCGTAAAATAGAAAATTAAGTATAAGTATATGACTTTGGGATGTTTCGATTTAGAATAATGTTGTTCATAATTTAAGATATTTTAATTAATACAACTTTGGTACTGCTTATCATGCCATCATTTAAGATATTTAAGATATTTTAATGTCCTACACGGCTACACGTCGTTCAGTCATCGCAAAATATAAGAAATTTTGATTGAATGTGACATGTTCTTATCACATCATATTAATATAAATTTGGATAACAGGAAACTAGGATATGTTATATCCGATTAAAATTCTTTAGTACGGAGGGAGGATGCAGATATCGTATAAGTTAAGTACAGTGACTAAAGTACTCTCTGAATCGATCGATCGGTACATTAACGTCGAAAAAGTTAGGTATACTCGTACTAAGCATGTACCTAATTAACGAGTACTTGTTTCGCAAATTACTGCTTCTGATTTTTAAGATATGCCACGGTGATTGACTTCTTTTAATTTATTTTGTTATTATTCATTTTTCTTATAAATATTTATACAAATAGACATGTTTAAAATACTTTTGATGGCAGATCTAGTGGTATTTTTTTCAATTTACATTGAATAAATACTGTTGGTTACAATTTTTAAAAAAGTCAACTACATCATATGTTAAAATACGAGATATTGTGTACATACATACATACATACATACATACATACATACATACATACATACATACATATACATATACATATTATATATATATATACATATACATATATATACATACATATACATATATATACATACATATACATATACATATATATACATATACATACATATACATATATATACATATACACATACATATATATACATATACACATATATATATATACATATACATACATATACATGCTTATCACTACTATATAAATGATCATTGCATACGGCTAAATCCATTTTCGCAAGAAGTTGAGCGACCCATATCTCGTTGGATTTGATGAATGAGGTATGTAGAAGTGTAGTTAGTGAATTATAGGGTAGATAAGGTGTGCCGATCAATGTCAGCTTACAGTTGTATAGGACTCAGCAAATTGGTAAATGATCGAGTCAATGAGCTAGCTTTGCACATATATATATTACATCCAAACCAAGGTCTCTGAAATACTCCGTAGTTATTGGCAAATGCATATCCACATGAAAAAAAAAAGTGAACAGTGATTTGACAAACTGATATTTGCACTCAGATAAGATAGTAGACAAGGTTCAGCAAAACATATTATCAAACCCTGAAATCTAGTTTGTGAAATTAATCATTCTGAAGCTCCTTACATAAGTTGCAGATCAATGACGATATATGCCATATACAAGTGGATAAAAGACACTCAAATCAACTTGATTACCTGTATCACCGTTCTGTTTTGCAACTCGTAGCAAAATGGGGTACAGTAATAAAATCCTATTACCAGTTGCAATAGTACAATGGAACTAAGTTGATTCCCAGAATTTGTAGTATACACATAATGACACAAAGGGATGGAGGGGGTCTAGTTGTACAAGAAGGGCCCTGTAACACTATTATATCTCCACATTACCAAATTCTCTGTAACACTATTCTATATGCATTACCAAAATCAGAACTTAAAAAAAATCATGAATTCATTCAGGTCGTAACCTGGTCAAATTCTTGTGAGCACAGATTTATTGAATGGATATTGTACCTTGGGCACGGAGGAGATCGGCAAAGGCGGTCGTCGGTGATGATGCGGACGGGAGAGATCGACGCTGGCGGAGCAGTTCGGTGAGCGGTCGTCGGTGGCGATGCGGACGGGAGAGATCAGCTCGGGCGGAGCAGATCGGTGAGTGAGTTTCTGCGGAGGCGCGGAAGAGATCGACGACGTTGGTGACGCCGACGGGAGAGGGATGGCGGTGGATAGGGCTCCGGCCGACGGGAGAGGGGTGACGCCGACGGGAGAGGGATGGTCGTCGTTGGCGTGGCAGCATCGCGATGGCGGATGGCGATTGGCGATGGAGCGATGCTAGAGAGAGGCGGCGTCGCGATGGCGGATGGCGCTGGATAGAGCCACTACCACACTTTGGAGCAAGCCTGTAGGTCAGCATATTTTCTGTCGTCCCGCAAACGACCCACGGAAAAATTGTATATTTCTGTCGGTTCAACTTGTACTCACAGAAAAATCCGTATTTTCTGTCGGTTGCGCTTAAGCCCTACAGAAAAATAAGCACTGGCAGGTGGGCCATATAACCATCATATAAAAATCACACAGCCAAACCCAAAACCTAATTTTTCCGCACCTCCCTCCAGCCGCCGCCGCTCCTCTTACTCCCTGGCGAGCAAGGGGGAGCGCTCCCCCTTCCCTTCTCTTCCTCCCCAGGCGGCGTAATGCCGCCGGCGCAGCACCCCACCTTCCTCTGTGCCTCCTCCCCGGCCGCTCCCTTCCCTTCCTCTCCGTCTCCCATCCCTTCCCCTTCCTCTCCTCCTCCTCCCGGCCCACGGCGGCCGGAGCTGCCCCTCCCCAGTCCTCTCCCTTCCCGCCGTCCTAAGCTCGGTGTCCACCAGATCCGGCCGCCACGAGCTCGGGGGCCACCGGATCCGCCGTCCTGAGCTCGGGGGCGACCAGATCCGGCAGCCACGAGCTCCTAGGTGGCCATATCCGCCCCTCAACACCGTTGCAATCTACCACCTCCGTGTTCCTGCCGTACTCCGTCTCTGCGCTCCAAAGGTAATATCAAGATGAAGTAGGCTTTAGTTCAAGCTGCTCCTGCACGGGCACTTCTCTAGTTGGTAAAGAAAATCTAGTCAGTTAATCATTCATATGTATGCAGACTAAATAGTAGTAGTAGTTAGCAGGAATTATTTTGCGTCGGGGCATGAGATGAATTACCAGGTAAAGTTGTTTATCGTCTGTAACTGGCTGCACAAATGCAACCACACGTTTAAGTCAGGTTAGTGTTGAGCACAAGGTTTTCATTTTTCTTTATTGGTTGGCCCAACTATTTAAGTTGGGCAAACTGGTTCGTTTGCTTAACCATATAGCAATTGTTTTGATCATTGAAGTCAAATGTCGTCACTGAACATAATAATGCTAGAAAGAAATAAATTCTTGATTCTGAATTACATTAGTTTTTTCATACAAGTATAGCACCTGTGACTATTTTTAGCTTACAAGTATAGCAACTCTTCCATGCATTTTATACAGATTGCCGGAGTAAAATATATGAACACAAGAGAATTTTTTCATCGTGAGACAAAAGGTGATTATTCCTAGCGTGAAGTATTCATTTCACATCTAAATAATATTTTATTGTTTCAGCGTTCTAAGACAATATTATATGTCAGCAGGACCAACTAATTTTCCTCTCTCGAGCCATTTTGTGAAGACCTGATGCAGTGGCAACACAGGTACTCCCACAGCAGGGGTCCTCGCTACTCAAAAAGATTCTGGTTTATATTTAAAATGTCATGAGAAAATATCATTAATTTCACTACCTTAATGTCATGAGACTGCTTGTATCGACAATGCATCCTTGATGCATCATTCACCTTCTGCTATTACCTAAATATATTCCTCATTTACTGCATTCAAAGTCTAACTCTTTTGAAGAGACCATATGGAATGATAACTCTAAGCATTGATCTTTTTATTCTCCTTTTATATTTAATAGGTTGACATGCTTGTATATACAGCATATATACAGTTCATTATTATGCATGTCTAAGCCCTTGCATGTCTTTTTGCTTGCAGCTTAAAAAATAGAGAAGTATCATAGTGATTGAAAGGTACAGATCGATCAGAATGTTTGTACAATGTTTGCTGGATGATTTTATCTTGAAAGATAAAATATGAATATTTGTAAATGTATGTGTAATGTGTACCATTAAATTGTAACATGGACTAGAAAATAGTTGGGAGACTTGGACTTGCTATTTTCTTGCTATAGGGTTGTAAACAGTATTGACACAGTTGAAACTTGATGTATATCTCATTGAAGTTGATGTCTCTGTGCACAAATTGTACTGTGGATGTTTGATTGCTATAGCAAATTGGTGTAAATAAAGAGCTTTCTGTTTTTATTGTTATTAATTTTTTTTTCTATAGAAAGCCAATTTTTCTGACGGGGCACACTACAGGAAAAGTAAATGTGACGGTTATTTCTGTCGGTTGAATATAAAAAATATCCTCTCTCAAACCTGAGGCCAGGGCAATTTTTCTGTGAGCCACCCACAGAAAATAGCCGTCAGAAAATATTTTTCTGTAGGGAAACCGACAGAAAAACTGAATTTCTCCGTGGTGATTTTTCTGTCGGTAATTTCTGACGGTTCACCCACAGGAATTTATTTTCTGACGGTAAAATCTATTTTCCTGACGGTTTCGCTCCTACAGGCTAGGTCCTAAGTCTGGTAGTGAGCGATGGCGGCGACAGGAGGGTGCGGCGTCGGTGGCCTGCGAGAGAGGAGGATGCGTGTGAGGAGCGTGATTGGGGGATGCGCGAGGAAAGGGGAGAGGAGGACGCGCGTGAGGAGCGCGTGTGGAGGGGAGAGCATTCGCGATGATTCTGAGGCGTTGGATCGGATGATTCTGGATCGTCGGATTTGATGAATGAGAAGTTGATAAAAATTGGTGGTGATGGAGAATGATGAGAAGGAGAATGGGGAAGAAAAGTTCATGGCCTGCGACGCCAACACCGATGCTTGTAAATATTTATACAAATAGACATGTTTAAAATACTTTTGATGTCAAATCTAGTAGTATTTTTTTTCAATTTACATTGAATAAATACTGTTGGTTAAAATATTTAAAAAATTCAACTACATCATATGTTAAAATACAAGATATTGTGTATATACATATATATAGCACATGCATATCACTGATCATTGCATACGGCTAAATCCATTTTCGCAAGAAGTTGAGCTACCCACATCTCTCTAGATGTATATGGAAATAGAAATCATCACAAGCAAACCATTCCGTCATATGAGAAAATCAATTATTAAATATGGGTGGCTTAAGATGACTGTATGAAAAAATCAATTTTTAAACGCGCATGCTTAAGCCGATGACCTTATTTTCGTGGACAAATGGCTTAAACGTGTGCATATAAAAATCAATTTTTATATACGGACTTGACCGGGACTTCCTCCGTATTTTCACAAATGGGTTTTCTTTTGACCCGCCTAAAAATAAAAGAGAGGTGTACGTTTGTGAAAACTGTTTAGTATAGCGTACTAAATTAACATAGTTGAAAAAATAGTCTGAAAATAAACATAACGATTTAATTAGGTATAACCACAGTACGACATACACAAAGAAATTAGGAGTCACGTTTAAATTAATAAACCGTTCTCATTTTAAAGTACTTCGCAATCTAGGATTTGCTCATATACATGACACGTACGTAAGACTAAGATCTACACCAATCGTCTCAGAAAAAGTCTACTTCTAAATTTAAATCACATAAGGATAACGATAGAGGGAGTATATGTCAAACATACCTGGGTGGCAAACAGTAAGAGCACAGTACCTGCAGGGTGGTAAATCCTCGTATTGTTCTCACTAGATTGTGACTTCTTTAATTTGCATCAAGCGTTTTCAATCTCATTTACTTTTTTTTTTGTTGGTACAAACTTATCACTAGCAAATATCAAGAAGATTTTCACTTAGTTCCATAAATCAAGAAGATTTGGTAATTGGTAAAGCAAATTAACTCAGAAATGTTGACATCTGACGCTCAGTTAATTTTCAGTGGGAAGGGCTTTCAGTGGTCTCAAGATGGTAGGCAGGAGATGCCCTCAATTAGTTTCCCACGTAAACCGTCGATCAGCCACATACCATTCCTGGGCTCAGAATTTATTTACTTTCAATTAAACCTTAAGAGTGACCAGTGCAAGTGTGGTTAATTTATGCATTAATTAGTTGGCCCCTCCAACTCCACTTACGTATTTCAAACATATTTGCATTTGGTGTCTATTTAAATGATGTGTCCGGCCATATATACATATATATGTCACACTAGCTCTTAGACCCAAACATGTACGGAAACCATTTTTTTCCATAAACACCATATATACTAGTCCGTCCATTTATTTAATATATCACGTTTAGGACATGCTAATAAGTTCATTTTTATATTTGAACTAGTTACTTAATTTGCCCTAACCAACATATGTTTCAAAGCAGAGGAAGTAATTCTCAAAATAACTCCAAATGGCATTAGTTTATTGTTGAGCTATGTAGAATGGAGAATGTAACTGGAAAATATTTTTACCAAAAGAGCTTGATCCCGAGGACAAATATTTTCTCGGAAATAACTCTGTATATTGCGCCCTTGAACATATGGTACTAGTAGCTACGTATCATATCTACCTCATCTATCTCTGGCATTCACATAGGTAGTATAACCTATCAAATTAATTTGTAAGGGCTTCCTCGTTGGATTGAAAGATTTTTATGGAAATTTTGGAGGATTCAAATTCTAAGGATTTTTTCCTAAGTAACATAGAATTGGAGGTCGCCAAATTTCTTAGGATTGCATATATTCTTATACCTTAGTTTTAAAGGAATTTAGCACATGAGCTCAAGCCTCATTATATTTTTCCTTTGAGAAGTCCGATGTAACTCATGTCTTGTTGTCTCTCATCGCTCTCTAGAATCCTCCCAAAATTTTGTGTCGTTTTCATGTGAGCTATCCAGATACATCATCTGTCGAAATCCTGTGTTTGCAATTCCTGCAGGAATTTTTTACTACATGCCATTTCAATCATGTGTTTTTTTCTGTTGTTGTATTTTGACGATAGTTCTATATTACAAAGGAGCCATAACTTGGAAAAAAAATAAAAAGAATTCACCTACAACGAAGCCATCCCCTATGCAAGTTGGGCAAACCATTCGGGCTTGCACACATGATCATTGTTGGATGCTAGCTTTGAACTCTAGCTAGTAAAATACTTCGTTGTGTGGACTCAACGTTGCCATATCGACTCTGCCACTACATTTTAATTATATGTGTGTTCGTCCATTAATATGAGTCACTTCGATCGCAATTGACTATAAATTCGAATTATATATGCTTTGTCCTGGCTGAAAAGAACATCCTTATTGACAAATACATTTTTTTTTCAGAATCATGGTAGGAGGTAGGTAGCTGTATGGATCATTCTCACTTGAATGAATAATCGAGTGCTCAACTTGCCAACAAAAATCGAAGGCGTACGTAAGTAAGAAAAAAAAATACTACCACAGAGGAAATATTACCAAGAGAGAGTACATAGTAGTACTAAACTAGTAATTACTACTAACTACTACCAACCATGGCCAGCTGAGACAAAATTCTAGAGACACTAATTATAAATCGAAGTCCTAGAATTAAAAAAAATATTCAGACAGAGGCATTAATGTTCAGACATGACAAACGGTTGAAAACGCTTTGCCCTTTTGCCCTACGTGTTATGTCGATCAACGTTAACCACTCCATATCACCGACGATCTCAGATGATGGGGTGTCGTGGTTACCGTGGTACCCATGAAAGAAGTTGTAGATAGTGCAGTGGTAAAAAGTGTGTGGTTTCTACGTAAAATTCATCTTTGCACTTTTGAATTAGTGGGAAATCACGGGAATTTAATGGTTGCCATAGTGACTGGATTGTTTTGTGTAAAATTCTCGAGGCTTTCGAAGTTTGCCATCCCACTAATCCAAAAGGTGCAAACAAGAAATTACGTAAGGATAGAGTAAATGCTTGAGTACCTTGTTTTTCTTAACACTTCTACAACTTTTTACACATAGTCGCGAGTATCAAATGGCGTTGCAGAATTTTTAGAAGAATCATTTCACCTTTCGGTGGCAACTTTGGGCTCTTTTTGCATGGCTATTTTGGGCTTTGTTTGTAGGCCGGCTTGCAGCCCAGTGTGTTGGACATTAATTACTAAAGGAATAAGTTCAGTTGGACTCCCTTAACAAGTGACCGAAATCTTATTTGTATCCCTGAACCATGATACCGGATATTTCGACCCCACAACTATTAAAACCGGCACAATTTGACTCCCTTGGCGGTTTTGGAGAGCGGTTTCACTGACGTAGCGCCTATATGGTGGTGTTAACTCGGTCTTCGTTCCACGTGGAGTTGACGTGGTGCTTATGTGTACTAGAATTAAAAAAATATGTGCAGGGCCTATTTTTTATTCAGACAAAAATAATGTGGGACCCACTGACATGTGGGGCTCACATGTTAGTCCTCTTTCCTTCTTCGTCCTCCTCTCTTTCTCTCATTTCTCTCTATCTTTCTCTTTCTCTCCCGTTTCTCTTTGTCTGCATGCGGCAGTGGGCGCTCAAGGGACCGAGCGGCGGCAGGGGCGAGCGGGAGGGCGGGCGCTGCCTTCGAGATGGGGCGGTGATGACGCGGCCTCGAGGTAGGTGCGCCGGAAGGCAGTGGTGAGGAGTGGCCTCCCTCCTCTCTCCTGTGGTCAAGGTGGCGGGCCATCAGAGGCGGGAAGGGAGCAAAAGGCGACGTTGAGGAGCGGGATCCCTCCTCTCTCTCTCTCCTGTGGTTGGGACGGCGGGGCCATCGGAGGTGGAAAGGCTGCGGCGAGGAGCGGCCTCCCTCCTCTCTCTCTCCTCTGGTCGGGCCGGCGAGGCCACTAGAGGCGGGGAGGAAACGGAAGGCGGCGGCGAGGGGCGAAAGGCATAGAAGGATGACTGATATGTCCAAGCCCCGGGTATTTCTAGTTGGTACATTGCGTGTTACTGTGCAGGAAGAAAGTAACAGAGAACGGAGGGAGTATTGATCTGGTGACCATGAAGAGCAATGTATCAAAGCAAGGTTTCATGTCAGCATAAAGCAGGTGTATATTTAATTATCTTGATTAGCAAAGGTAATTAGCAATGGTGCCGGAATATTTAATATATATTCCTGTACGTGTGTTCTTTGACTAGTATGGTTTAGCAACTTATTAGTTTTAGTTTTTCTTTGGTATTTTGGGTCTGGACCAGTATATATGTTGCCGAGTCTGGTTTAGGGAAGGGCCCATTATGTTTACTATGCATGCGTGCATATAAATAGGCC